TACTCGAACTGATAAAGTCCGTGCTCTACGCGAGGCTTTCTACCGTCAGAATCTTCCAAATGTCACCAATTTACTTGCTACTGTCTTGGTCTTCCTCATAGTTATCTACTTCCAAGGCTTCCGCGTTGTGCTTCCAGTGAGGTCAAAGAATGCTCGTGGTCAACAAGGCTCATACCCAATCAAGCTGTTCTACACTTCCAACATGCCTATCATTCTGCACTCTGCACTGATTACCAACCTCTATTTCATATCCCAGGTATGTACTTAAATTCCGGTGCTGCATTACATTTGATCTTTGCATGAATGTGCAAGGATTGAAATGTTTCTATGGCCGCTTCCAGTGCTTCATTACAATTGATCTTTACATGAATGTGCAAGGACTAAAATGTTTGTGGCAGCTTCTCTACAGGAAATACAGTGGAAATTTCCTTGTTAACCTTCTTGGGAAATGGAAGGAATCTGAGTACTCTGGCCATTCTGTTCCTGTTGGTGGTCTTGCTTACTATGTGACTGCACCATCAAGGTGAATAATTAATTTCTTTTATTTTACTGCCTTCTCTTTGATGAGTCTTTGCTTATGATTTTGTTAACATTGAATGAACTATTAATGATGTGAGCTTCAAATGTTTGAATCTGCAGCTTGGCTGATGTTCTGGCAAATCCATTCCATGCATTGTTCTATGTGGTATTTATGCTGTCAGCCTGTGCTCTCTTCTCAAAGACATGGATTGAAGTTTCTGGTTCATCAGCGAAGGATGTTGCTAAGCAGCTGAAGGTAAAAATAATGGATAGCAATCCCCCCCTGCCCTGTGGGCCCCTAAGCACTGTTCCTGCTCTGTATGATAGTTTATATGACATGACCTTGCATGGACACAACATTATTATCATCAAAGCACATGCTGTTGTGCTTGTCTGTGCCTTTTTTTTTTGCTTCTATTATGAATTTAAAATTGTCACGCAACTAGGGCGATATTTTTCAAATGCAAGATTTTCATGCTAGAGTGACCTGTAAACCCTTACCCTGGCATTTCAACAGGAACAACAAATGGTGATGCCAGGTCATCGTGAGTCAAACCTGCAAAAGGAACTGAACAGATATATCCCAACTGCTGCGGCATTTGGTGGAGTGTGCATTGGTGCGTTGACTGTTCTAGCTGATTTCATGGGCGCAATCGGTTCAGGAACTGGTATTCTGCTCGCTGTCACAATCATATACCAGTACTTTGAGACATTCGAGAAGGAAAGGGCAACTGAGCTTGGTTTCTTTGGTTTCTAATCTTGGTATCTGGGGAGCAATTATGGGTATACACTGAATCTTCCCTGCAAGTGACAGTAATGCTTGGCCGGCTGTTTATGTTTGTAATTGGAGAGCTTATAGTCAGTTTAGGTTGAGAACCGAGCGGGGGCTCGGTTGGTCAGCTGAGCAGGGGCTCAGGCTGCCCGCCACCTTTCTTCTTAAGAGTATCCGGGAGACTCCCCCGTGTGTTAAAAAAAAATAGTCAGTTTAGGTTGCGGACTAATTTACACTGGGAAACTTGTAGCAGGTTCAGCATGCGTTTTGAGGCCAGTTTGGTGGCATAAGTTGTGCCCAAGTACATCCACTGTCACCATCTTTTGGCATGTTCCGTTCTCATGTATTGACTATATAGAATTTTGGATCAATTTAGAATTGAACACATGTTCTTTTTTTTTTCCCCCCACCCCCCCCCCCCCCCTTTTTTTTTTGTTGTTGCAACAGCGATCTTACTGATGTTTCTGGTTCCTCTGAATTACAATCTGTACCAGTGATATACTTTTGTTCCTAAAAGCTTTGGAAACTGCTAGTGTAGGTTTTTTGTTATCCTTTGCTGGTTAACACATACTAAGCTTAGACGGTTACCGACCAAACGAGATCGAGATGATGAAGGTGAAAGCTGCTCAGATTTTTTGGGTGAGAACTGCTTGCTGCCCTGGCCCCTGGGGCGGTGGGGCGGTAAAGTATGGTATATGGCACGCCATCAAACATTGAACGGATTTTTTTTGGGTGAGAACTGCCTGCTGCCCTGGCCCCTGGGGCGGTAACTCAGTAGGGTATATCGCACGCCATCTTGGAAACAGGGCGATCAAAACAAATCTTCTGTAACTAAAAAGAACAAAGTGTGGATATTTTTTTTTGCGACATTTGTTTTGGTTCGTTCGTCTGTCCACGTCTGCGATTCCACAACATCTTAATTACTGATTGATCGTGTCATTCTCCTTGATTGAATATTGTTTGTCATGTGATAGAGAAATCATGGTAAAATAGAAAGTAGAAAATTATTGTGCTATCCATATATACATTGCACGTTTGTATGCACCAGCATACATGGCAATAAGCAAAAGGAAAGAGAATTAACACAGAAAAAATAGAATTAAGACAAAAGGAACATCTTTGCATTTCTGAGAACCTTGCCAAATCTGCCTACATTTAATTACTTTTCCTCTTTGCATTTGTAAAAGGGACAGCTTTTTTCTTCTTTCATTTGGTTTCACGCTCACATGTTCCATCGCCCTACCTTGTTGTTTCTTGCGTGAATCATAGTTGATGTCATTTGTCTTTCATGGCTTAGCCTTCCAGTCCCAAGAGAATGTTCATACCTCTCCCTGACTAGAGATTCGGTATGTCAGAGGATCTCCTCGAGTCCATCGGGTAGCGTCTCGCGTCAGGCCACGACGCGGCGTCCTTCCGATCCGCTTGCTCCCCATGGCGCGCCGCCGTCCTGCTTCGCGACCTTCGGGCCGCCTGCCGCCGCTCCTGTTCGACCTCGACTCGGACCGCTGTCGGCTTTCTCTGCGTCTCGGAGAACTTGTCCAAGACGCCGCCCGACGCGCGCGCGGCAAGGTGGCGCGGCGGACTCCTCGTGTGGGTGGTGGCGCTCATGGACGAGGCGCGCGTCGCGGACGCGTTGAATCCATCGCGGTGTTCGTGCCCCGCGTTGAGCTCCCGCCGTGCAGCGTAACACGTCGCGTGGCGTCCTCATCGAACGCGTGTCTAGGGTCCACAGGCGGTGGGTCCTCCATCCCACCAACGGCTACGGGACGCGAATGCCGCAGGTAGAGCCATCAAGCTAGAAGACATGAGGGATGTTCTTCCGTGAGATCGTGTTTCTCGGCGGCGCCGACGTCGCCGGCCATGAGCGCGTGGCCATGCCTATGCTTGGGTGCTCCACGGAGGTCGCGTTCGCGGGTTGAGTCGACGGCGCATGCATGGACGCCGCCGACACCAAACTAGAGTTCTCCGTGGGGTCCATCGTCTCATCGCCAAGACAAGTTCTTGGCGATCGATCGCGACCGGAGAAATCTCCATCTCAGCAGAAACAACGCCCGCCGGGCGCCTACTCCAACCGCGACGCCGCCGCCATCATTGCCGCCACCACCTACGGGCTCGCCACCGCAGCCTACCGAATCAAACGGTGAGATGCACATTTGTGGGTGCCATGGTGAGCACGTTCCACGAGACACAGAGATTCACCTACAGCAGCGTAATCTACAAGTGCAACCTCCACGACCGTACGCCGGAGTGGTCCAGGGTGAGGGACATCGGTGATCAGACACTGTTCGTGTATAAACATTTCAATAAAAGCTTCAGTGGAATAAGTGTATCCAAGTACAAGGAGAATAAAATCTATATGTCTGAGCCATTGTATGGGGATCCATACGATTTTGTCCATCGATTGAAGATCGTTGATATTGCTACCGGCGCATCCGAAGTGAAGCTCGTCCAGGAAAAGATGCAGGGTTCCGAGGCTCTAGGTTAGATTCGACCCAATCTCTGTAAGCTCTAGAGTTTGTGAGCCTGCGACGCCGCGCACTCCATGACTGTGTTAAATTCATAAACTTTGTTTTTTGGATTAAATGTCACTTTAACGTTGGTATTTAATTTAACAGTATTGTTATCTTATTGTGCAATCCGTGTGTTTTAAGTATAAATTGTTAGTTATTCCGTAGCAATGCATGTGCACGCTACCCAGTGACTTAGATAAAGAACCGGATGGGTAGAAAGCTCCCACTGAGATAAGATAGTTTTTGCTTAGTCAGAAACTATCCACTGTAATCGTTCTAGTGACACTTGGGAGCATGATTTAGCTTTGGGACCTGGGTCAGTTCGTGCTTACCTCTTCCGGACATTGTGAAGAGCCTTGTAGTTCGTAATTTTGCTAAACCCAATACTCCTATATGAATATTGAATGAGCGGGTGCTGTAGTTCCCTGTTGACTTGGTTCGTAAACATTGAACGACGGGTGCTGTTAATTCCCCGCTGACTCGGTGAGATTATACTTTTGGGCTTTGGCTCACGGCAGGTCAACAACTTCGAATTCCCCGCTGACTCGGTATCTTTGGCTTACGGCAGATCAACAACTTCGAATTGGTCACTGGCAATGAGTTCACCTTTGAACGAGTCTCGAAATGTCGGATGCGAACAGCTACGAGTAGGAAGCTCCACTGCGCATCTCAAAGGAGACGCGAGCGATGGAAACAGAATTCGCCCCAGCCTCATGGGAAGACGTAGAGAAACTAGTGCTTGCAAAGCCAGTAACGACGGTGGGCTACCTCAAAATTCTCCATCCAAGCAAACATCGTCACTGACACAATCTGAACACTTTTTACAATTTAACTGAGGCGACTACCCTGGTAGAGGGTAGAAAAAGAATCCGTTAACATTGAAATGTGACTGAGGTAAATAATGACCATAAATCAGTCATGCGGTGTTCAAGCCCACTGGTGAAATAAATTATTCGCACTAGAACGGCAAGAGAAAAGGAATTAACTCAAACACAAAAATTTGACACTTACATTACATGCTGGCCAAGACACATGCTGAACAAACCATGCACCTGCCTTAAAATCAAGTATCTCTATATCTTTCGCCCTAGTTGAAAAATATGCCATTTGCCTTGCATGACAGTATTGGGCCACTCGGGGGGCAAAAAAAAAAAAAAAAAAGAATGTGCACCTTTGTGCATCTTATAGCTAATTAGCTATTATGAATTTGTCTTGCTTTCGGAAGTTCTTACTGGATTGAAATACGGGTGAGCCTGCAAACATCAAATAGATGTTTTTAGCATAAGCTTTTGAAGTTATGCATGCCATACTCATCAAGTAACTTTCTTCAAGAATGTAGGCGAGAGGTACCATGGTTTCCTTGGCTGTAGGCCTTTCTTGGTGATCATACCGGAGGAGTTTATCTACCAAATCAATAGCCTGTAAAAGGTAGAAACTTGTAAAAAAAACAAGAAATGGGGAGTATACTACAGTAATCAAAAGCCGACAAGAGTCACCTCAGGTGTCGCAAGGTGTCTGTTCCTAGCATTGACAAACTTGGGCCATGGTTTCCTATTATGTCTGTAGCCACAAAAACTTAATTAGATCATCCAAAATAAAGATCATGATAGTCTGCAAGATTATCCAAACTCCAAAACAATGACCTTCCAACAAGTCTTTCAAGCTGTGGGTCAAGCTGGAGGCCATATTTTTCCAGGTAGTTATACAAATCTCCTGTGCCAAGAACCTGCAGAACAGAAACATGTATTGCATGTATTATACAAACAAATAAGACGTTATATGCTTTCAAACAACCATTTCTTCAGGAAATGCAGGAGCAGGGGATCAGAGGAAATTGTACTGCTAAAATGGCTAGGGTTTAGGATCTTTAGGGTGTATTCAAAATCTCAACTGCAACTGTGGTGCACCACATATACAAGATGCGGTAGCCAATCACAATGAACTCAAAAGCAACACAAGCAGATGATGCAATAATGGCAATGAACAAAAAGGTAGTACATAGAAGATACTGCAGCATCTAGACATTTTATTAATACTCTAGCCATCACTAATGAAAATTTGACTAGTAGAATACACTTAAGTTTATTGTTTATAAATATATAAACTTTGCAGTAAATATACAGGGCGACACGTGCCACTGATATGTCAGTATCCATAAATCAACAATACACAACAAGCTAATTTTAGCAACTTTACATTCAGTCAGCTTTCTGTACAACCAAGGCTATGACAGTATGCTATTAAGGTCCAAATAAAAGATGCTGAAATAACATATGAACTTGCCATTAATAACTTCAGGGTGACTCTAAAGCTCACATAGCAGATGCAAACAATAATGTCACATGAACTGATTAACTTGTGCTGTTTAAATAGATTAATTAAATTAATGCAACATCTGAATACTCCCTCTGTCCCCAAATAAATCAATTCCTAGAATCCGTGCCGGTCAAACTTTTATAAATTTAACTAACTTTATAGAAAATAGTAACAACATCTATAATATAAAATGAGCATATTATGAAAATATATTCTATGGTACATCTAATGATACTAGTTTGATATCATAAATCTTGATGTTTTTTTCTCAAATTCGGTCAAAGTTTGAAAAGTTTGACTTAAGACAACTCCAGAAATCTATTTATTCAGGGGCAAAGGGAGTACATAATCAAGTGACAACTCGTAAGGCTTGCAATCGTTGCATTATTCCATTTAAAGCACTAGATTAAGTGACATAGAAAAGCACGATGACAGGACATTTCAACACAGAGCAGCTTCAAACTTACCTCAGATATTTTCACTAATTGATCATAATTATCCTGGCCACTAAAGAAAGGGTCCACTCGGAATATCTGTTAGTACCACATAGCACATCAACACAGGTCTGTTAGCCAAGATAACAAATTGATCATATTCTTGCCACTTACCATTGCTGCGAACATGCAACCAAGGCTCCACAAATCCAATGAGTAATCATAATCTAACAAATCCACAAGTAGTTCAGGACCCTTGTAGCATCTGTAAATAGCAAAAGGACATGGTAAACCAAGGGGACAAAGGCAACGAGAGGCAGCTAGAGAGTAATATATTTTCAATTCATCAATGTTTTAAAAAGCGCTAGGCACTAGGCAGGTGGTTAGGCTCCGCCTAGCATCTAGGCATCTGTAGTCATTGCTAGGCGTTTGTTCTTTTGTGGCCAGTCAGAGTACTACCATGCTAAATACAGGAAATTTAGCATATCAGAACAGGAGAAAAAAATGATATTACCATGCATCTATAAGGGTGTATGATTGTAGTTTATCTTTCTCCATCCCTAATTTGTCCCGTTTCTTTACATACATCAAGTCAAGCCCACACCTAGGTGCTTGGCGATGGTGAGGCGGTGCACTGCCTAGCGGCTAGCGCCTAGGCATCGCCTTTTTAAACGGAGATGTTTTTTACGAAACAGTGCGACACAATAATTTACTATTTATATACTGGGTATAACATAAATTTAACGTAAATTTAGTACTAAACAAAGAGATGAACCAGAACTAATATAACGATACATCAAAATCCTATTGTGATTTACAGGTCTATTGGAAGAATATAGAATAGGTGAGGTCATTGGATCAACAAAATATTCATGGCTTATTAATAGTAACAGACTAACAGTTATCATGAATGTTTGGACAAATAAAATATTCTTTAATACAATGCCGAACAAGTCCAAGAACAGCCAGTTTTCAAAGCCAGGGCAGGGCAGCTGACCTTGAAGCAACTCTAGCATTATACTCCATCTTGGGATGATAGAACTCTGCAAGACCCCAATCAATAAGACGAAGCTGGCGCTTTTCATGGTCAATCATGACATTGTGGGGTTTGACATCTCGGTGCATTATACCGCGTGAATGACAATAATCTAGTGCCTACACAAATACCTGGAAAAGTTAAGACCATCAAGTTGAATGCAGCCTGACAGAAATAGAATGGTTTGAACGTTTAAGTTGAAAAACTGTAAAATAGTTAGCTATCCTCAAGAAAACTGAATCTATTAGCCCAGATTAGGACACAGGACAAACTGTACATGAAAAAATACATCATAGCACCACATGCTGCATCTATTTTGGTCTTTATGACGCTTGTCCAGATACATAAAGGAATCAGTTTGTTTTTTGTCCAAACTCTAAACATCTATATGATGGTTCAAATTCTGTCCATCATGTGAATTTGATTTGAGCATGCATATCTAAATTTGGTTTACAGGAATAATATTATATATGATTAATGGGTACTAAGAATCTAATAAGAATTTATGAACTGTGATATTTCAGAAAATAAGGTATCGTAGGTCATCTGTATTATTTTCTGCAGTTCAATTACTGTTCCATGAGTGAATGAGTGACTCAATACTCAATAGAATGCAGACCTTGAGCATCTAAAGCTCCAAACAGATGCAGAGCTACCATATTCTAAATTTCTAATATTCACTAATCAACATAGAATGATTAGTCAGCACCAGTTTATCGACCAAAGTACTTTTGAAAACAAAGGCAGGGAATTATCTCATAGAATTAGTTATCTTTTTTTCTGTGTGCGCAATAAGATCAAAGGAGCTAACAAGCTACACCAAGTAAGTTGTGTAGCATTAAGAGGTTTACCTCTGTTATGGCATGCCTTATATTTATAAACAATATTTGCTAAAAAGGATATAAATCAGAGCATACTTATCAGCCTAATGGAACTCTTAAAACTTCTAAGGTCAGTAACGTGCAAGAAAAATAATGGGAATTTAAGTTTACATTGATTGCAAAGGTCCTCAGAATCAAACAAACAGGTATATCATCAAAAAGAAGCAAAAAAATGAAATAGCTGAAGCATGAACAAGATGACAGAAGCAAGAGATATGAGCACTTTTGAGGTTCAGATTCTTGCCTTTAATAATTCAAAAATATAATATCTGATATCATAATCAGATAACGAAGGGTAGAGTACTTTGAAGTCAGTGTTGTTGACATATTCAAAGATCAGACTAGGCGTCTTTGATTCATCATCTCTGACAACATCAAGTAGTTTTACAATGTTAGGCCCTCCATATAAGTTCTGAAGTATCTTTATTTCCCTCTTTATCTGGATCATCATAAAAGACATCCACATGAATCCTTATGATGTCACACAAATCTAAGCAAATAGAAGGAAAAAAAGATCAATATCATATTGTCTCTATAACTGAAAAGGATATTAAGTAAGCCTAAAAAGGATCAAATGAACAAGAGTAAATGCGAAAGAAAAAAAAAACACAAGTTTGCATGGACAACCTCCTATCTGAATTTCTTATATATATACAAAAACTTTACAGGTGTCCACTTTTTGTAAATTTGTTAAGTGCATACAAGATGACATGGTTATATGAGAGTCCTGTGCAGCTACAATGTCTCCAAACCACACTGCCTCATGCTCTATGGCATCCTAAGTGGATAAGTAGTAGAAGCAACTAGCCAACTAGATAACCCTCAAGTCTAACACAAAAACAGGTGAGACTGGTAAACATTGGTATACTCCAATCTAGTACTACAAGGCAGTCTCTGTGTTTCAGTTTTATGATTCCATCAATAGCACATCACCATCACTGGTGGCCAGAAATGTGACAACCACTGCAACAGAGCATTGTAAATGCAAAGCCTCACCTTCTTCTTCTTCACAGGCTTGAGGATCTTAATGACGCATCTCTCGTCGCTCCTGGCCCGGAAGCCTTCGAACACCTCGCTGTACTTCCCCTTCCCCACTTTCCTCAGAACCTCGTACCCATCCTGCTCCCTGCACGGACAGGCACATCAGAACGAAAACCCTACACCCTTCAAATCTGGAGATCACAGTGTAAAGCCTAGCTCTAGCCCCAGCTCCGTGTGCCTACCCCCACTGGATGTCGAGCGACTCGTAGTCCCAGTACTCCTTGGGCCGCTGGGCGTTGGCGTCGGCGTAGACGCGCGCCACGGAGGCGGCCGCCCCGGGGTGCCGCGTGGCCCGCCCGAAGCGCGGCGTCATGGGGAGCGGCGCCTCAGCCGCAGCTGCCGCGGCGGCGGCGTAGGCCGTGGGGGCGAAGCGGCGGCGGCGTCGGTGGTGGTGCGCGTGGCGCGGGGCCGCGGTGGAGAGGAGGAAGCGTAGGAGGAGGCCGTGGGGTGCGGCGGTGGCGGCGGAGGCCGGGAGCGGGAGGACGCGGCTGCGCAGGGCGCACCAGGCCATGAAACCGCGGCGCGGGCGTGCTGGGGAATTGGGGGGCGTCGCAGGGCTCGCTGCCGCCGCACGGAGGAGGCCTTTGAGCGAGCGGGCCCTCTCGGCCGTGGCTCGTGGATGGATGGGTTCGCGATTCGCGCCCGTAAAAATCTCGGGAAAATCTTCTGTTTCGCACCGTGCCGGAATGACAAATTGGCAATGGTGGCTGTTGGGTACGGGCGTGTGGTAAACACTCTGCAACATGTCACATATGTACTCTCAATACACTGGGTGTCTGCAGTTTAATCTGCATAGGTTAGGTCATCTCTAGTGGCGAGAAAAAAGCAACTCATAGTCATGGATTGCGATAAATTGATCCGTCCGGCAGCAATGGATGAAGTTTGTTGCATTCAAGGAGAGAGAAAGAACTGGCTCATGTTCTTGTTGCATCGATTTATCGTGGTTTAAAAAACCGGCATGGATGAAGTTTGTATGAAAAATAGATACTAGGAGGAGAACGTGTGAGAGGCTTGCACTTTTTTATTTGTATATATGTGCGGCGACATAAGTATAAGTTGAACCAAACAATGTAAGGGGAGGTGCTTCGACGGGCAGCAGTACTTTGGAGGAGCCGCCGGAGCGTCAAATCCCTAGCTCCTCCGGCTTCTCTTGTTTTCACGTTGCTTTTTGTTGGGGCTCCTCCCGTCTGGCTCCTTGCTACAGGTAAGAACAGGGTTGCACAGTGCTGCTGCATAGGGAGCCAGAGCCGCAGGAGCCGGTGCCAAACACTGCCTAAGTGTGTCACCTTTTTAACCTGATAAACCGACACATACAGGTGATGCTCTTAAAGTAAATCAGAGTAGGACTAATTTCACCCTAATCCACTCCACACTCACACATATACCCATATATAAGCCATGTATCATCGTCATTGTATTAAAAAGTATATAAACTTTAAAAGAATGATTATTTTATATCTTTGTATTACACATTTAGTCTTCTACACATACAATAGGTAGTAGTAGTTTCTTGAAATTAGATTGACACTTTAGGACCTATAGAGATATTGTCGGTGCAAAATATGACCAACAAGTAAATATTTATAGTTTTGTCGTGCGTTGTGATCGGATGTGGCCTAGCACACGATGACACAGGATTTATACTGGTTCAGGCAACGGGCCCTACGTCCAATTGAGGTCGGTTGGTGACTTTATTCCTGAGCCCAGGTGCTCGAAGTTTGTTGTGGGGTTACAAAAGAGTAAGGAATGAGAATGGTGTATTAGAGGCCCGGTCGGACTCTAAACCGAGTGGCCGAGAGTGACGGATGCTCAGACGTGCGCTAAGTATTAGAGCGTATACTCTGTGTATCCGAGCTTATCAGCTGTTGAGAGCATGTAGACTGTAGTTGTCAAGCTCTAGAGCTGTTTTGCTGTCGTCTCCTCCAATCGTCTTGTCGAGAGAGAGCGCATCCCCTTTTATAGTTGAACGAGATGGCCTTACAAGTAAGAGAGAAAGAGAGAGAGTGTATACGGGTGCTGCCTAGTCTTGTTGCCCACGCCATCGGATACGGGATGGCCGCCGTCGTCCGTCATACTGTTTACGCCGCCATCGACCACCTTACTGTTCATGCTCTGTTCTATCTGGCAGGCTGCACAGTGTTCGCCTGGTACGGTAAACGTCGGTGCTCATAATACTGTTCATACTCTGACGCGTCTGGCAAGCTATACAGTGTTCGCCTGGTACGGTAAATGTCGGCGCCACAATACTGTTCATGCTCTGACGCGTCTGGCAGGCTGTACAGTGTTCATCTGACATGGCCCGACGGCACCGTCCTGCAGGTGCACAGGGCATGGCAGGGTACGGTCCTCGGTATTGCGGTTGACTTGAGCGTCTTACCTTATCTTCTTCGCCTGCTCCCTGGGCCCACACCGAGCAGGCGTCCCCGATCGGTCGTTCCCAATCGGCCCCGACCGTGTCGGTCAGGAAAGAGCAGCGAGCAGAGGCCTGGCGTATCCTCGGTCGGTGAAAGGGGGTCGGAGTCGGACTGCGGTCCCACCACGGCCAGGCCTTCCGGTCGGGGCTCCAACCAGATCTCCTGGCCGGAGGTGCCGATCGGGGACCGGATCGTGGTCTTGGCCTGTCACTGTGTATCTAGGCTGGCCCAGTCGCGTGCTGTCGCTGCACCGCCTGCTGAGCCAAGTTTTATAGGGAAGCAGGTCCATTAGGGACCCCGGATTTATGAACCCGACAGGAGCCCCTAAGCCCCTTTGGGGCTTCTGTGAAGCCATGAAGGGGCTGTTCACACACGCTTTGCGTGCTATTGTAAAAGTCAGTGGCTTGTGTGTTTTAGCTTAATGAAAGCTTGCATTTGCTTTGTAATTCCTGTGCCCATTGCGGTGTGGAGGCGGGCTGTTATTGGAACTTTGATGTTTTCCCCCTTGGGTTGTTGTACTGCGTAGGGTAACCGAGTAGGATTTAGGCGCCCAGCCTCCATGTGGAGGACTGGTAAAGGCCACGAAGGCGCACTGGAGAGATATTGGCACCCAGCCCCTGAGGCCGACTGGGGAGTCGGTCAGAGACTGAGCACCTTGGTACTCTTTTTTGGGGCTGCGGACTCTTGTGTTTCTTTCGGTCGGGGTGTTCGCCCATGTCCGTTCCGACTGCAACCTATGCGGTCGGTCGGGTTCCTGAGTCAGGATCTGGCAGCTCGAGCCCCTGAGCCACTAGGGGCCGGTCGAGGTCGGTCACATGATTTCCTATGTCACCCCGTCCGTGGTTTCCGCAACCGGAGAGGTTGAGTTGACGCCACTTGCCTCGATGGCTTGAGTGGCGGGCTTCGGTGAGCTCGCTAACGGGCATGTCCGAGTAGAATCCAGGTCCGTCGTTCATGATGGGATCGGCATAGCCCTCATGTGGCACTCCACTTCTCCTTAACCCGCCTCCCAGCAAATGCCCGAGTCGTTCCAAAGAGCGACTCATGTGGCCCAATAGCCTCCCCTCAATGTAGATTCTGTGGGAATGGCTCGAGGTCAGGATCGAACGAGAAGGTTGAGATGACCCTGTCCGCTCTTGAGCGGGTCAGGCAAGGGCCATTGGGGCTCATCTATGTTTTCTCCCCTGGCTCTGTTTGACGCGAGGCGGCCTCGAGCCCTTCGCGGGCCGGCCTTCGAACCCTGGTCGGTTGTCGCTCATATCGAATGAGACGACTACAGCTTCGTGACACTACGCGAAGCGTTTCGATGCAATGATTACATATGCAATGATTTGGATGTATGAATGCATGCATGAGAATGAATGTTTATGTACTAGATAAGTAAAACAGGGGTTGGTAAAGTTACCTCGATGGCTCGAGTGACGGGTTCGGGGAGCTCCTATCGGATATGTCCGAGTGGAATCTGGGTCCATCATTCGTGACGGAGATGACATAACCCGCATGGGACATCCCACTGCTCCTTACCTATCTCTCGGCAGCCGCTCGAGCCATCCGATCGACTCGGGTGACCCGCTGGCCTCTCCTCGATGGAGATTCCATCGATGGGCCCCTCCAAACCCTGCTTGGGAAGGCTGAGGGTCGTTTGCGTGTGGCTGCGCCTTATTTCCCATGCCTAGGTTGTGATAGTGATGGGCCTCGCCCAGGCCACATCCCGTTAGCCAGGCGATGTCCCATCAGGTAGGCCGCGTCCCGTCAGCCAGGGCCACATCCCGTCGCACGCCTTTCCGCATTAAATAGGGAGAAGGGAGAGGGTTTTTTCCTCCTGTTCTTTTGCCTTTCTTCAACCACTGTCATTTCTCCTTCCTTCCTTTTGCCAATCCTATTCGTGTGCCATGGCGGTTCTAGGAGAGAGGAGGGCAGAGCGAGGGAGAGGAAAAACTTATAGATCCGCTCATAGATCCGTGGCGCGATGTCGAACTGGAGGCCTTCTATAACACCCTCGGTGTTACACCCTAAATCATTTACTAAAATACGTCATCAGCATCATACTTATGGGGTAATGCTTGTGATGAAACGAATAGGTGAAGTATTTCAACTAAAACGATCAATAAGAATGCAAAACGAAAAGTTACTCCACGATTCGTACAATTATCAAGTATGGTTGGAAAGCAATTTTTATTGAGTAAAATTATTATAGAACTTATATATGGGGCTTAAATAAAGTTTGGAGTGTGAACTTTGTAGAAGATGATGAAATACTTGCTGTTGAAAAATAACCTTGCTAGCTAATATTTCCAATAGCTTAGAAATGCAATTTGAAATAGAGTTCAACTGAAAACTTAGAAAAATTTCCAAGTCTGTTGACAGTTAGACATTGCTATGTTTAGCAAGCTATTTTGAGGAATTGGGTTAAAGAGCGATGTAGTGTTATAGCTTGATTAAGTAGCCTCATATACCATCTTGAGTGTAGTGAAGACCATTTATGTTTAGGAGTAACGGTTTGGTCGCGGTAGAAGTTTTAAAATCCGTGCACGTTTCTGGTTTGCTTCCCCCACGTGGACGCGGTCAACGTGCGTCAGTGGTCGACGTCACCGCATCAGTGTGCCTCGCGCGCGCCCGTGTGTTGCCGTGCTGGGTTGGACGCGTGCCATGGGAATAGTCAAAGGCGCTGCCGTGTGAGGCCACCGCTGCTGTCGCGCGACCATGCCGCGCAGCTGCATGCCCTGTGCACTGCCGTGCTGCCAAGTCCGTCGTGCATCGCGACACGCCTACAGCCGCTGCCATCGCACCCCCGCGCTCGTGTCTACGCCTTGGCCCGGTTTGATTCCATGCACGTGGTTGCACCCACCATCGTCACGCCATTGATGGCGCTGCGGCATGCGGGCCTGGCCGGCGTGAACATGCGCGTGCTCGTTCGCTAGTGGCTAGACTGGGTCACTGCGGTTATGTCAACCGCGTCCCACCAAAGCGTGTCATAGCAGAGCCCTGGCCGCACTCCACCGTCCTCGCTCTGCCTCCCACCTCTCTGCCGCTGTCGTCGCCTTGCGCCCACGAGTGCGTAGTAGATAGGTCACCTCTATTCAATTTGGCTCGTCCG